TTCTTCTTTAAACTTTAATGTTGTCGTCACTACATCTGGAAAACCACGTAAGAACAAATTAAAAGTATTTTAAAGAGACCAGGTTGTTTGAAAATCCTAAACGAATGCTAAAAATCGTCAAAACATTCTGGTGTCTGAGCCAGAATGTCATCGAATTGCGATGTAATGTAAACAGAAATTATAGCAAGTTGATGTCAGTCAGCTTAGATGGTCCAAGCCAAAATTATATCTCATTTGAAGTTTCAAACTGAGTTAAAAATAGTGGAAGAAAAGCCGTAATTATACTTATTGTTACAATCCATTTAATAAAATGCAACATTTGTTTGTTTTAATGAAAAAATCAGTTATTTTCATGAGAACGATTTGTTATTCCATCTCAATTTTTCTAATCTCCAATCGCAATAACGTAAAGTATTATTACCCGCGAACCAATGAGTCAATTTTAAGAAACAACCCACCGTTAGAAAGCTGAATGGCTACGTTTTAAAATGAATGTAAACTTTAACGTTTTCGTCTATTATTTGTTTAGCAATTTACATTTCAGTCGAGGATTGCGTTTTTTTTTATACACCCTGTAGACTGTCCTTTTTAACTTTTAACTCTGGTATATTTACACTTTATCTCCATCACGCTAATCAATGCAAAAATACTGGTATGTGGTAAGCAAAGTAAATTAGTAAAACGACCTGTAAAATTTCGCCTGCCATTTCATTTTTGACTTGGCAGTCCAAAATTATTTTTGCGTGAATCAAATTATGGCCTGATTCTCAAATTTTGGCCTGCTTTTGGCCATTGGCAGCCGCCATTTCCAGCCCTGCATGGCTATGGTGTGTAATGAATTAGTAAAATTCTAACTTTATGTGTTATACAGTTGATGGTTTTGATTTATGCAATTAACTTTATAATCTACAACATGGCCAACTGCGTAGACAAAACAAAGAATCCAATAAGCATGTTTTCAAACTTTACTGTTTTGCCTATAAAATTGAAAATAGGAAAATTTAACTTAGATTTTGGCATAAGTCGTAATTTAAAATCAATTTGTAGAATCTCAGGAATATATCGGTTGTGAATTCTTGACCAGAGAACTGTGGGATCCCCTCCAAATAACCCCACATCAGTTTTGTAACAACATTTAAGCCTAAATATCCGACCATATATATATATATATATATATATATATATATATATATATATATATATATATATATATATATATATATATATATATATATATATATATATATATATATATATATATACGTGCAGACATAGGAAGAAATTTCGCGTAAACAACGCAAACAATACACTCCCACAACTCAATTAGGCATTTCCGCATAAACAACGCAAACAATAGATGAATGCATGCTTTGTTTCACCCACACACACCCACATTCCGGCCAAAACACATATAAGCAGTCCTATTTTCGAAACTTGTCATACCGCCTGATGATTCTTTACTGATGAAACAGACTGTTGCGGAATTCTGAGGTAAGCGAAATTATATATATATATATATATATATATATATATATATATATATATATTTAAAAGATGCGATATATCTTTGCAGTAAAAACCTCATCTTGTTCAACTTTTTTTTAAATCCAGTAGACGTGCCAGCAACGATAAGACAAAATAATTTGCAATATAGACGTTTCCCAATTAAGGTGGCTTCACAACCCCATCTGAGGCTACTTTTGTGGGGTTTCAATTTTCATGGTTAGTGCATTAATTTTGCAGAATTGTACATGTGTTGTTATTTGACTAATTTCTATCGTTTGCGTGATACTTTTTCAACAAATGTATAGTACCTATAATGTTAACCTTTCTATAATCGATGTTTGATGATAACAATTGGACAACTACCAATGGAGGAAATTGACGTCCAAAATCTATGAAGGTCATAAACAGTTTTCATACCATTTCTCCCAGCTAATTCCAGTTTTTTCTAAAGGAACGTATCGCTAATCAAGTTATCTGTTCATAAATACCGTAATTCTTTAAATCGAAGTTAACACACAAAATTTCGGCACACTCCCTGCAGCCTTGTGTTAATCGCGCAGATAAAAACAATACCAAGGGAGTGGCACTGGACGTCAATTTCCGCCATCATTCGCTTCACTTTTTTGGCACGAGTTCTTACCCCAAATATATATGGAGCTCACTGGAGGAGGGCTACCCCTCTGGCTCCGCGGTCCCTACTTGTCACTAAATCACTTTAATTGGATCACTTCACCACCCGACAGTAAACGGGCAATGAGCATAAGTACATATTTTTGCTTAGGAATGTTACCTTGTCAATGTCTTGGCCAACGGCTCCAGCACGATTTGAAACTGCAGTCACAATTCCATTTGCAATTTCATGCTGTTCACTAATGTCATCCATCACGTCATGAATAAATAAAAATATATAGTGAATAAAGTAATGTGGTATGATAGAAAATGCATTACTTGGCCATACTGTATACTATTTAACAATTAGATTACCAGCCCGAGATTTCTATGAGGTGATAGTTGATGAGGGCGAAGCCCGAATCAACTATTAGCCTACCTCATAGAAATCGAGAGCGAGAATCAGAAATCAAACATAAAATATTCCTCAGAAACCTAGAAAATACGCGAGCCGGAACCATTTTTTTAAAAAATCCGCCAGGAAAATGATTGTTTTGCTACTCGCTATCTATCGAGGAATACTATAGATAGAGTAGCCAATCAAATTACAGCATTTGCAATGGTATACTAGTATGACTCATGCATTAGGGACCAGTCATAAAGTAACTGCTAGGGTGGGCTGGAGGTAAATCACAAATTTTGCCAATAAGTTTGGTGACCCATCTTAGGATGTAGATAAAAATTTCAAAGCCCATCCAATCTTACCAAATTTATTTCATGACCCACCCACCCAATCTAAATTGGGAAAATACACTGTTACAATGAAAAAATCTTGCAGGTATGAACATATGTCAATACAGTGCCGGTGTAAGTATTAACGTTTATATCCATAGCCATTCAGCAACGAGCTTATATAATTAAGCCAATCAGCGATTAGCTTACATCAATTGTTTACATCGTGCTCGCACCTAACCTGCGAACAGGCGTAGTTTGGCCTCGTGTAAGTCGTGTTATTCTTTGCCATATTTTGGCTTCAAAAATATCTTGATTTTATCTTGAATTGGCTGTCTTGTTTTCACCATTCTACTTGTGATATTATTCCAAAGTTATCTATCATGGAAACTTACCGTATTTACTCGATTGAGCGCCGCCCTCGATTGAGTGCCGCCCCGAATAAGCGCTGCATTTGAGATAATTTTTTTTTGAAGAGCGCCGCCCCCGAATGAGCGCCGCACTAAACAGTGTAAAAACTTTCCATCGTCAAAATGGAGACATTTAGTGACAAAGACATTTAATACTTGTTTATTTCATTGTTAAAAGTTCTTGTTATAATTCACAAATAAAATATTTTTTAAAGAGCGCCACCCCCGAATGAGCGCCGCATCTGAAGCTCTGAAAATTTAAAGAGCGCCGCGGCACTCAAACGAGCAAATACGGTACCCTCATTTGGTAAGTAACCAAATATACCACATATTTTATTATATACATTTATTATTTTATACCGTATAAAAACAATCATTGTGTAATATTTTAAACAGTCAAAACTCTGACTGCAGGCATTATATTGCCAATTAACAATATCACAAGAAACTAATGTTCGTTCTCAGGAGATATTGAATTAAATCCTGGTCCTGTATTTCTGTAACTCTGTTCAAAACAACAGTCCAACTAAAATGTAGTGTTAGAGCAAAGGTAAAGATGTCATCAGTTAAAATTATACTTATACATTTTGGTTTTACACAATAGAGTTAATTAAAATTAAAGGGTAATAACAATAAAATTTTTTATTGCTTTATCTGAAAGAGCATGAAAAAATAAGCCGATTGGCCGTTTACTGCTCTATTCTATCTCATCTAGTTCCGAAGTTATACGCAAAAATGTGCAAAATATAAATTGCTGATTCAGCACAACGTGTGACGTCATTGGTAGGGTAAGTATGTTTAATGAATACTAAACTGAAGCATAGCTCAGTTATTATGGGACCAAATCAAATGAAATTTTGGATACTGATTGTACATGATGAGACGCATTGAAAAACACTTCTAATTTTGTTGCTAAGGTAACAATGTCGTTCCCAGGCCCCTTGCGCCAATTTTATAAAACAGCTTTATTCATGGTACTTATAAGAATAAAA